CACGGTACGGTATAGGTACGGTACAGACAATATTGGTTGTGCAGCAATCGAGCTTTGAAAGTCGGTCTAGCGGAAAGTGCCATCTCTCCGCCTCGTACGGAAATACCACGGTACGGTATACGGTACGGTACAGACAATATTGGTTGTGGAGCAATCGAGCTTTGAAAGTCGGTGTGGGGGGAGTGGGGGGGGGGGCATCTCACCGTCTCTTGCGGGTTTAGGGATGCATTCGAGCGTCGAGAAATTGGCGGGTAATTGCCATTCTTGTGTCAACCAAGCAACCCTACTTGCCTCTGCATGCCATGGCACTTGATGACCACCAACACAGGAGAAATCTCCGATCAGTTTACGGCGTTTGTCCTAAATGGATCGCTGCGTTTTCTCTTTCGATCCCCGAGTAGCACCAAATAGTAAATGGTCGGGCGTCTGTCTCCCCGTTGATATAATCTTACGGGTGCGATCGCATATTCTTGGGTACTACTTCGTTGTAGTTGTCTAGCCTAGACATCCCCGCACGGAGCGATTATCGTACACACGTTTACTGTACCCCACACACTGCAACGAGAAGGCCATCCGCAGAAAGTTAGCGCCAAGGTATGTTTGTCCGAGCGACACGCCCTTGCAATGTTCCGCCAACCATCTATCTGTTTCCCGTAAACGTTTTAGTGGCGAGTTTATCCCCAGGCTGCTACGCTGTGGCCCTCGTGCTGCAAAAACACTTATCGGACGCCTGCGGGTTTTTATCAAACTCAGAAGGCATTGACTATACCTGAAAAATGACCTCGTCCCTCCCCCCCCTCCGGCCCATTTTTTTGTCTCTCTTTCTGTGCTGCCCTTTTGCGTGCTCTCCACTTGCCGGAATTCGAAAAAAATATCTACGGACGGTTTCAAAAATTGACGGCTTGACGAACACGCGCAGTATTTCCGCCACAACAAGTTTAGCTCCTTCCGGAGGCAACTGAACCTCTATGGCTACCGCAAGGTCATCAAGGGACCAGACGCGGGCGCGTACATGCACCCGTCTTTCCAGAGGGGGCGGCCCGATCTTCTTGGGGAGGTCAAGAAGGGCAAGGTGATTTTATTTTTGTTGTCAAGAAAATGTCCATGTCATACAGGAAGACTACCCGTTCGGGATGTAACCGTCGTCAAGGGGGGGGGGGTGTACTCATAGTCGTGCATGCCGTAGTCGTTAGACCATTGACCTCGCATCCCTACAAAGCCGGGACGGAGCACGCCGGGTTCTGACCGGACCAGGCTCTCACATCACCAAGCGCGAAGCGCCGTGAGGTATTCGGCGAGTCGCATGAAGGGTGCGCTGCATCCTGCTAAGGGTGTTTGGCAACTTGTGCTTACTTCCTTGCGTACGAATGACAGCTGCGTATGATTTAATTTATTTTCTGGTGCGTTCACTTCCACAGACAATTGTAAGCTCTGTGTAACTGCCTCGAGGGCGTTTGACCATTTTAACACAACGTGGTGCGATCATCCCCCTTGCGCGGAGTGAGGTTTCTCCCTCCACCCCGTACAACATAATCTACTCGACCACCATTCATGGTTACCGCCAAAAAAAAAAAACAAAGGCAAAAAAAAAAAACGGTAACCTGGTCGCCGAGCTCACGAAGTGAATCGGCTTGTTTTACAACATCGCTGCCAAGCGACGAAAACCCAACCCCGATGGCAAACACCGGGGGGGGCGGCTTGTTTTACAACGTCGTTGCCAAGCGACGAAAACCCAACCCCGATGGCAAACACCAGGGGGGGGGGGGTCATCAAAGGGTATGGGTTAAAAGTCTTGTTATTGTGAGTGGGAGAATTTTTTTTTCTTGTTTCCAAGAGAATGTCCTGTCATACAGGAAGACTAGGTACCCGTTCGGGATGTAACCGCCGTCGAAGGGGATGGGTTAAAGTCTTTTATTGTGAGTGGGTAGACTGCTGGTGCTAGATAACCGCGAGATAATGCCAGGAGGTGTGGGTTGGGTCCGTTTCGAACGACAACGGCAACAAAGCCAGGACCCCTATATTGTGAGACGCTTTTTTGTGTGGTCGGTTTGAACCGAAAACGGCGGTAGCCCAAGTGCCCCACTAGCCTGGTCCGGTTTGAGACGATTCGGTAACATCCGCATGCGCCACTTAGGAGTGGCGTTTATCGTGGCCTCTTTATACAAGGGAAACGGTAACCCGGGTGCCCCACTAAGGAGTGGCGTTTATCGTGGCCTCTTTATACAAAGGAAACGGTAACCCGGTTGCCCCGCTAAGAAGAGGCGTTTACTCTGGTCCGTTTGAAACGAAAACGTCTGTAGCCCAGGTTAATCTTGCTGGTCCATCTGAAACGGAACGGCAAATACAGCAGGTGCCCAACTAGGTGCCCAACTACAGCCGCGAGTGCGAAAAGAATCGTTAATCAATCTTGATGGTTCCGTTTGAAACGAAACGGCAACAGACCCCAGGTGCCTCACTACGACATGCGAAAAGAATCGTTAATCAATGTTGATTGTTCCGTTTTGAAACGAAACGGCAAAAAAAAAAACAGGTGCCTCACTACGACATGCACGGGGTGAACGAGATTCACGGGCAACACTTCCGTCACCACCCCCCGGGGGTCAAGAACAAGGAGAACGCCGAGCGAGCGAAGATGGTGCCGGTGAGATATAGATGGCGCGCGCCGACAAGAGTTGTCGCCGTCTCTTTGTGGTTGCTTTTTGTTGTTGCTTGTTGTTGTTGTGGAAATGCTGCTGTTTTTTTTTTTTCTTATTATGACACAACGAATCCATCTCTTATCATAGATAAGAGTCAGAGACAGATCAGCAATGAATTCATAGCGTCAGAAAAAGCTACCTTGTTTTGTTTTTTGTTTTTTTGTTTGCTGTTGATGTGGTGGTGTTGTTGTTGCTTGTGGTGTTTGTTGTTTTGTTGGTGGTGGGGCGGGGGGGGGGCGTACTCTTATGTTTTAGCTTGCCTTACCGGTTAGACCATTGACCACGCGCCCTCGAGAGGGCGGAGCATTGTTCCCACAGGACCGATCACCGATGGCCAATCGTTCCTTCCTACTTTGCCAAAGGTGTCTCAAAAATGTCTTCCCTAGTCTGTCTATCCTAACGATATCCTTCCCGCCTTTTCAAACCACTTCCTACGCCCCAGTAACGTCTTCTCCTGGCTACCCCATGCCTCAAACACCAGCCGCGGGGGGGGGTCAAACAGGAGGAGTTTTAGTTTTTCCACCTTTTTTTTTGTCAGTATTTTTCGTTTTCGGCACATAATTAGCGGGAAAAACCGCTGTCGTAAACTGCGTCAAACTCATAGACCGGTCCCAAAACACGCACTCCTATTTGAGTAGTTCCCCCCCTTACCCGCTGTGGCAGAGTAGGAAACCGGAGACATTTTAAGAAACAGCCGTGTCGGGTCAAGACTGGCTCAATGAGCGACCAAATTACTAACGTGTGGGTGTGTTTTCCTTTTTTTTTTTTTGAGTTTTTTGGACGCCATATATATATATATCTTGCTTGGTCACCACCACTTTTCAAGTATTGTACCAAATATCGTGTTATTTTAGGGACAGTTTGGTGTAGGATGGTTGACTGAACTGCTGTGTTGCTTTTTATCCCAGATTGTCTTGGTTTCCTCTCTCCGGCATTTTCATTAGCCGGGAGGATCCTGCGGCCTTGTTCTCATCTGCGGGGACCCTCACTTGTGCGGCTTTTTTTCTTCCATTTCAACGGCCTTGTTTCTCATCTGCGGGGGGGGCGTCGCTTGCCGTACCCCTACTATTCCCGCAGGCCCACCTGACGACACCCCCCCTTGCGTTGCCGGTGACCCCGGAACTCTCGGACGGCTTTTTTCTTTTACTATGTAACCGTTTTTTTCTACACGATCTGCGGGGACCCCCGCTTGCCGTACCCCTACTATTTCCGCAGGCGCACATGACGGCAAACCCGCATTCGTCGCCGGTGACCCCCGAACTCCACGGCGGGGTGGGTTATCCAACGCCCCACGGGGTGCCCGGGATGATGGGAAACCCTGCCCTAGCTGCCTCCGCTCCCGCTGCCGGCGGTGGGCACATGACCCCGGGCACCCAGGCGGCCACAGCGATGTCGAACATGTCGCTGAGCCCGATGCCGCATGCCAGCAACGCGTGGTCACCGCAGGTGTGTGTGTGTGTTTGTCATTAGCATCGACCGCGCTAACCGGCTGGCCAATGAAAAGACGTCAGTCTCAGTGCGGTTGAAAACTAAGAAGTGTGTGTGTGTGTGTGTGCTGCTTTGTTAGGATCGGCAACGCTAACCGGCTGACCAATGAAAAAACGTCAGTCTCAGTGCTGTTGAAAAACACAAAACAGTTCTAAATGCCATTTAATTGGGACCCCGTGAGGGTGCGGCGTGGGGGGGGCTAAGCTTTTCTCCGGGTGAAAGACGGAAACGGTAGCAGCAGAAGAAGAATGCAGGCGTCTACCAAGGTTGCTGCCCTGCACTCGAGTTCGTTTTGGAGTGCTTTCACCATCATCCTCCTTGCTTTCACCGATCATCATGTTGACAGCGATTTTTCGGCAGTTCTTCCCTGCCCCTGCGTCGTCTGTTGTGGGGAAGGTCATCTGGCTCGAAGCTCTTGTTCTCTCCCACGACATGAATCCCTCCTCGACTGCTGCGTTGGTCTCTGTCTTGTCCTCCTCCCGTTCCCTCTCCTCCTCCTTCATCGCTGCCTAACAAATTTCCCTCATTGCCATCATGATCGTTTTTTATCTGCACTACTGCTGTACTGAGATCCCAACCTGTTGGCCGTGGTGGAAATTGATCAATCAGTAGTCCATCACGTTCAAAAACATCACGAGTTCGTTGTAACAGAAAACGAGCCAGCTCGAACGTAGACCGTCTCCGAATCCTATTGGTATGATGAGCCTTCAGGCGAAGCAAGGCTGTGTTTCGTCGTCGAAATTCCCCCTGCAAGAAGCCCCGTATGCCGAGTAGTTGGCGATAGCTACGATGAGTCGATTTGTGCCTTTGCCAAGACCACCACACGTTGAATAAGCAGCAGCACGGAGGGTAGATGTAGACGGGTTGACAGTTCCCGCATAGTGATTTGCCTTGCTTGCAGCTCGATCTTCGAGGGCGGATCCTGGCGTTTGGATTGGCTTGTCGATGCTTCGACTAGCGGATGGGGTAACAATTGTGACATTACAAGAAAATGGTCTTGGTGCAGGTCTCCTCTTCTTTATCTCCTGCGTGTAATCCTGGGGGTGTCGCCAAATCCATCTTGTAGGGCCCTTTTCCCCTACCAGTGCTTGTAGTAAAAGGGGAAGAGTCTTGGACCGCGATTGGCATGTGGCACTCGCGTCATGTCTTCAACATCACACGAACGATCCTGTTGTGCAGGAAGTTCGCGTGAGATTAAAGACATTACGCGAGTGCCACGCGCCAATCGCTGTCCAAGACTTTTCCCCCATTTACCACTGGCACTTGTAGGGGAAAAGGGCTCTACGAGATGGATTTGGTGATGCCCCCAGGATTACACGCAAGGGATGAAAAAAAGGAGCTCTGCACCACGTCCATTCTTGTAGATGTCACAATTGTTAATCCATCCGCTGGTCCAAGCGCGTGATATTGAAGACACTGCGCGAGTGCCACATTCCAATCGCTGTCCAAGACTCTTCCCCCATTTACCACAGGCACTGGTGTGTGTATGTGTGTGTGTGTGTTTGGTTTGTTGTTGGGATCGACAACTCTAACCAGCTGACCAATGAAATGACGTAATCTCGGTGCGGTTGAAAACACGAAATGCTTCTAAAGGCCATGCATGACCTGTGCGTGTTGTGTCTGTGTGTTTCTGGTTTTCTTATGGGTGGCATGTTTAATGTTTGCATCGACCCGCGCTGCACACCAGGCTGACCACTGGATAGAGGGCAGTCTTCGCATCTTCTTCTTGTCGGCGGATTTAAGTACACAAGGGTGTTGTGCTTATCTTGAAAAGCCTTGGATTGAAGACCGTGCCTTCGTTCCTTCCCGCCTTAACAGTCATGGGGAGCGAGTGAAGTTTTGTGCTGTGTCGTAATTCAATAGCCACCCCTCATGCTATCCAAGCCTGGTGGTCTGGTCATGCGGAGTATAAATGAAGCGCACGTTTTATCATCATGTCAACAGCAATCATTCCTTGTGCCAGGCGTGAAGATCAGTCTTCATCGGTGAAATAATTTAGTTGCGCAAGTGTCTTACCAACAACCATCCCTTCTGGCAGCAGCCCGGGCAGGGCATAGACGCCTTGACGCTCACGCCGGCGTTTGCCGGCCCTGGCGTGGGCGATGGGGGCGACGCAGTATCAGGACCAGGTGGAGGAGGGCCGGCTGAAAGCTTGAATGAGAAGCACCAGGGCATGGGAAAGCTAGGCAGCGGGGGCTCCGGCGGGAGCGGGGGGGGGGGTCCCAGCAGCGGGGGCGGCGGGGAGCGCACGGGGATGCGCATGGCGTACTGGGAGAAGAACCGAAAAAGGAGGACCCTATCGGCACAGCTCGTGTTTCCGGTGCAGCCGCCAAACAACACGGAGACAATCGACCAGCCCGATCCAAGTCTTTGCGGTGAGTTTTTTTTTGTTTGTTTTCGAGTACGACCTCATTTTTTTTTCTGTTTTCATATGCATAAGAACCGCATTTTTTTTTTTTCTCCCGTTGCGTGCGGGATGTTTTTCTTGTTTTTGTTTTGTTTGACCACATGAAGTTGGGGCCGTTACCTTTGACACAAGTTCGATCTACCACGCGTATGACCTGATCGGGCCATTTGGAGCCAATATCACATGTTTACGATTTCGCCTTACTGGATAGGCTGTCCGATGTGTTGTTCAGTCTTGCTGGAGTCGCCTCCTTCTCCTCCCATTTCATTTGAGCAGGCGCTGTTCGAGTGGGGTGGGTATTTTTTGGCAGTACCGGAATCTGTGCGTACGTGTGCCTCGGGCCTCCTTGCAACATGGTAGCAGCATTTTTGTCGGCATGACAGCATGCGGTGCGGCAGACGACGCGAACGCAGCGATTTTACGCGGGGACCAAAGGCTGTAGTCCCCCCCAACCACCGTGCTTGATACTGCTGTCTGATCAACAACAACCCTGCTGCTTGCGCCTGCGAGTTGCGTATTGCCTGCCGGCCTGCTGGTTTTTGTAATTAGAAGGTGTTGTGGCCGTACAATGTAGTGTGGTCACGATGATGTTGCGTCGTTTGTCGGAATGAGAGGAACTGCTTCAGCTTCAGGCAGCTGCAGAAGATCGAATAGCCCGCCCGGTCCCGGCCGTTACCGTCGTGCCGTCTTTTTTTTTTTTTTTTCGGTGATTGTATTTTTTTCATACACCCTGGATCGACTTCCAAAACTCGATTACTCCGCAGCAGTAACAGTGACGGTGCTGAGATACATGGTTGCGCCGTAGCTGTCTCGTCGAGAGCTTCCCGAACACGCGAGAATTTGCCGTAGCGTCCTCCTCGTGGGAGTAGTGGAGCTTTGAAATACGGTTCAGGGGGTGTGGTATTTGTTCTGCAATCCACGGTATACAGACACGTGGCTATCTCGCAGGTGTAAGGATTTGATGGACTGTGGCTTACTTTTCGTGGTGGAGTAATCGAGCTTTGAAATTCGGTCCAGGGGGTTTAGGTATCCCACGCAATCCACGGTATACAGACACGTGGCGGCTATCTGTCTCGCAAGTTCTTTTTTGTCGTGCAGCAATGGACCTTTGAAATTCGGCCCAGGGGGTGCGGTATGTTGTGCAAGCCACGGGACACAGACACGTGGCGGCTAAGTCGTAGGTACTCGATCGTGGTTATCCTTTTCGCCGTGGAGTGGCAGACACATGCGGCTGCCGTCTTAGCCAGTATTTATAATGGCATCCTGTTCGAAGTGGAGCAATCGAGCTTTGAAGTCCGAAGTACAGAAGAAATTGGCAATTACGCTCTCATGTTCTTTCGCTGACGGCTGCATACGCCGCGACCCTTGGGGCCCGATTGTCAGATGAGGTATGCATGTGATAGGCTCATGTCGTGTTTATACGGTTTAACGCACAACACGAAGAGTACATAGCCGTTGGTGACACAAGATATCACACCCCCTGAGACTGGTTGTCAAAGCTCGCTCGATTTCTTCGCAGAATGATCTCGTCGTGTAGTCGTATGCATTGGTCTGAAAATAGGTGCAGAGAGTGTGTGTGATATATTGTGTCACCGTAGCTCCACACATAGTATTGTCTGTGTTGGCTAGTTGGTGCTGCGGCAACTTGTGTTGCCGGTTTGGAAAATAATTCAAACAAAAAAAGAATGTCTGAAACAATTGGCAGCCAAGTAGGGAGTCATTGCAAAATTTTCATGGAAGTCGTGCGCGGCGCTTCATTGAAGAGGTGAAACAAACAGGCCGTTATTTGTTACTTGGAATCTGCCGCTCTCTTGCTCTCGCTGCCGTTCTCTCTCTCGTTTTCTTTTTCTTTCAAAGACGTGATGGATGTGATCTGCCAGTGCATGGAGGTCCAATCCTCCTCCGAGTCGCAGCTGTCAGCGTTGAGCGGGTGCTCCTTTAAGAGGGAATCCATGAGGCGATCGAGTATATCTGATGTAAGTGCCCGGTGACCCTCCCGCATCCCCTCAAACACATTTTGCGTCGATGGGTAGGGGGGGGGGGGGGAGGGAGGAGGAGTATGCATATATCTGATGTGAAGTTGTTCCCCCCCCCTGCCCTCACCTCAAAGACACATTCTGCACCGCCCGTTGCGGCCAGTTGACCTTTACCCGCTCTGAAAGGGGAAGTTTGGGCGGTTGGCTCGAGGAAGACGGAGGCCAATACCTCGTGTGTGTTCGGGTATTTTGCTCCGATGTCATTACACCGTTTTCGGCGTTTGTTTGAAGTGTTACTGGCCACGCACAGAAGCTTTGGACTGGGTTTGTGCGAATGTCAGAAAAGGTATACTGCTGGGGAGAGACCGTAAACGTTTGTGATTACATGAATGAAGACAACGACGACAACAACAACGACGATGGTCATTTGTTGACAGCGTTCCAGTTTGGTGTCGTTTATCTTTGTGCCCCCGCGGCTGCTATACTGCATGCCCTGGTGATTGTGTGAAGACAACAACAACAACAACGATCATCTCTCCAACTTGACGATGCCATTTATCTATGTGCCCCCGCAGCTGCTAAACTGCATGTCCTGGGAGAGCGCCTTGCGAGGGTCGGGCATTTTTCGTGGGTCGTTGGCAGGGTAAGTGGGAACCTTTTCTTGGTGTTTTTCGAGAATATCCATGTTAGCACAGAAAGACCACCCGTTCGAGGCAACACCACATTCGAAAAGGATGTGTTGGAGTAGTCTTTGCTGCAGTGAATGGGAAAGAAACCGGCTAGATACCGGACTTGATTCCACTGATTTTTTTTATTTTATTTCGGGCATTTTCGAAGACCCTTCGCACCTTGTGTTGAAAGTAAATTGGTTGCATGTACTTACAGTACTTGTTTTATTTTTTGTCCGTCTCGTCTACCTTCCCACCCCGCGCTCAGGACGCTGGACGCGATGTATATGGAGGAACAGGGGGACACGGCGGATAGCCGAGGAGGGGGTGTCCCCCCCACCAGCGCCCCTACCTTCGGGCAACAGCCATCCTTCGATCCCACGCGAGACCCTTCGGGGGAAGGCTCGGGGCTGATGGGCGGCATGATGCATCCGGCGGTCATCGCGTCGTCGCCGCTGTCTTCGGCCGGCGGCGGCGGCGGCATGAGCGGCATGAGCGGCAGCGGGCAACCGGAACAGGGAGGGGACGGCAACAACAACCATAGACGGCGACAGCACGAGAGCCGGCCGTCCTTCGACCCGAACCGAGAGTCTTCCATCGCCACCGGTCATTCGAGAGGCGGCGGGCAAAGACCCCCCGCGGATACCCGGCGGGAGGGGAGACGTGAAGGGGGGCACGGTGGCGGCGGCGGCGGCGGCGGCGGCGGGGGGGGGCGGGGGGGATACGGTGGTGTCGGCGGATGAGGTGACGGGGGAGGCGTTCCTCGGCGTCGGCAGCGGCAGCGGCGCGCCCCCCCCGGGGCCGATGACTAGAGAAAACTCCCGAGAGTCGACCGCGGCGAGGATTTTCAAGTCGGCGCCGGCCAGGCCGCCCCCGACGACGACGTCCGGCGCTCCGGTCAGCCGGGGGGACAGCGGCTACCAGACGTGGGGGTCGGAGCCGGGCAGCAGGCAGGGCAGCGCCGGCAGCGCCGGCGCTGAGGCGAACAACAAGGGCCAGGTGCAGTGGGTGTTGTCCTCGACGCAGCCGCAGCAGCAGCAGCAGGGTGCGGCGGGGGCCAAGACGTCGAGTACGTGGGGGCTTCCGCTGCTGCAGGAGGGGCCCGCCCATGGGCAGGATCCGGGGGGGGGTGGGGGGTTGACGCGGGTGTCCGCTTCGACGCCCAACTCGTCGCTGGAGTCGTCCCCCTCGGTGAAGGGAGAGATGCTCTTGTCAAGACCGGGGGGGCTCGCGCGCATGCCGAGCATGCAGTGGCTGACGGAGCCGGTGCCGAGCCGACGGCCGACCATGTGAGCTATGTCTGCTGTATGTACATAATAATTCCTGCCTATTTTTGGTCGTCTTTTTGTCACGCCATTTCCAGTTGTTTAATTGTTTTTTTCCTTGTTGATGTGGCGTTTGGACGTCGGTTCTTGTTGTCTTGCGATACAATTTCTAAGACGCACCACAACCGGCCCGGGGTCACACAAGAGGTGTCGGGAAGTGAAATTGGGAAGCGTAGATACTATCACTGAAAGACAGCCCCGTTCGAGGAAATAATACCACGGCATTCGAAGGAAACTGTCGCAAGTCTTTTCAGAAGTGAGATGAGTGCTTACAGAAGTGAGTGGGGGAAGACAGCCGTCGTCGTTGGTGACTTGCTTGTTTGCCCTAGAGACCTTGAACAAGACTGGCCTGTCGCAACAGCGTCTGTCGCGGGCCCTGCCGTCTGTGTATGCATAGCACCATCAAAGATCACGTTGCCACGGTTTGGTCTTCGCGCTTTGTTTTGCTCCCGAGACTTTGAAAGGCTGTCTTTTCTCACCACGTGTCTCCTGCCGGGTTTTTTGTAGAACCATGAACGGTCATATCGCGACAACGATCTTCGGAAAAGACGCTAGAATAGCGCGTATGTAGAAATGAATTTGTTTTGCCCTTTGTGAAGGAACAACGAAAAAGAACAGACAAAAACAGTGTTGTAGCGGTCTTTTGCTCGTTAGCCCAGACGCCACGAACAAATAT